GTCATTTCTGATTGGCAGTAGATTAGCTATTACAGCAAGCACAGCTGCGGCAGAATCTGCTGTTCCTGTGCAAATAACCCTAACAAAAATGGAAATAAGACAGGCAGAAGACCAGTTTTGAAGTAGAATTGTTCCAAAGCGCTCTTCAAAAACCCATCTGTCTTTACAAATAAGGCCTAGCATTCATTTTTGATGACAAATAAGAACTGCATAGTATGGGAATAATAGAAACTGAATATAACTGATGAGACTAGCAACAGAATATGAAGCTACTCCCATATTGCCTCTTTAAAGAATGTAATTGTAGGTGGGTACAAATTGTAACTTGATATATATATCTGGATCTTCAGTTGGTGCTAATCCCTCTCTGGTCCACTGAAATATGTCTAGCCAGTATAATGTGACAATTAGGTGCTTTAAAAATACTGAATTCTGCATCTACTTTGCCCTTCAAAACGCTAAACTAATATAAGGTTAACCTTGCTCTTCTCTAGGTCAACATTGCCCTGAGAGTCACACAGTAAAGCCGACCAACGTGATGGGCGTTCGTACAACAATTTTACAGCAGCAAATCAGTGTCTCTGCAGATAGGTTCATTGTTTTTTTTTTTTCTGGCAGAAAGAACGGATTTTTTTATTTCCTTAGTACCAATTTACTCTTTTACTCTAATAAAATATCATATTTTGCAAAGACAATAGCATAAACAAAGCAGAGAAAGCAAAAGAATCATATTTCTTACTGCTCTAAAATAACCATATGCAGTTAAAAAATGAAGCAATCAATCCAAGGAATAACAGGATGTACAGCGTATAACAAATGCACAGTGCAGTTTATAACAATAGATGACATACAGCATCTTAAGAAACAGGGAAGTGGTTGTCTGAGGCTTCAAATCGCCAAGTAGCAGAGGAAAACAGAAGCATAACCTATCCCACAACAAATCACTCCGTCAGGGTATTCCAAGAATTTTGCTTGTTCCAACCTTTAAGCTAGCAGAGGAACTGAAAATGGGCATCGGTTTGCTGTGACTTCTTTACGCCCTCTGGTGACAACGTGTAACTGTACCATAGGTTTGTTATGTCCTTGTTACATAATAAAAATCAACTCAGATTCAATGATCTCTGCTACTTTTTCTTTCTTCTATATTTCTTTACTCTGAAAAAGTCCAGTGAAATCCTATGATCTTTGATTGTTGCAGGCAGAAGAGTTAAGCTTCGTTTCTCATATGGTAGGATCAACTGAAACAGAGGATACTTAAAACTCTACTTTCAACTGTATCTATAACTTTTTGCAAATGAGCCAAATGTGAGGCGTTGTGGGTTTGGATCGACAGGAACTGAGCTGAGTCGATAACTCAGTTCATTTGGATCAAAAGGCCTGTTGGGTGGTTTTCTTGCCTGTCAGTCACTGCCAATTTTTAAACAAGTAACCTAGACATAAAAAACCTCTGAGGCGTCCAGCTCTTGCAGCCCATTTATTTTCCAAGAATGCCTAATGATAATTTCAGAGTGGTAGTACTTAAACATAGCAAAGAAACCAATATTCGGGCAAAGGGTTATGTGGGAGACAACTGGGTGGACTTTGACTATGTAGTGATATGATTAAGCTTAAAAATTCAGCTCAGAAATAATCAGTCCAAAGACTAAATCTCCTATCTATGTGCCAGCTGCATCCATGTGATTACCTAACTCTGCTGCTCGCTACACCTGTCACCGCAGCAATTTAAAGGAATAAGAAATTGTTCTGCTTGCAGAGTTTGGTCTATCCACTCTGTATTCAGTATATTTTAAGAGAGTTTATCATACACATTATTTCTTGCTTTCTCCTTCATTTTGTTTTTTTTTCCTTTTCACACAGCAGTGTACAGTGCAGTGTTTTCTTTTATGTTTTAGGAGTTACCCTTTTCTTTCTCCTCACCCTTTCATATATCTTTTATGCTACAATATTTTCTTTATTCTATGCCTGTCTCTGAAGTATCTCTCTCACATGCCTTGCACAGCTTCCTCCCAAAGTGTTGCCTAATTATAATGATAGGGAAATACTCCAGTTTTAGCTGGATCCAAACAACCGTTCAAAACAGTCAAGCTTATTTAGAAGACTGAAGTGAGGAGACAATGCTGCCATACTCTGGTAGTTTTTTGGAAGACACCTGAAACTTTGCAGAGAACTGTCATTTCAGAGATGACAACCACTTTGGCAATGAGACCGTTACACAAGATGAGCGCTGTAACTCCCTTCAGCAAACAGTAGCTTTTTAGCTCCATATTTTTGCTAACAATTAGCTGACAAGAAAGAGTCAGGTCTCATTCCTTGTCTGCAGAGTTATTCCAGTTGCTGAATGCTCTGCCCCAAGTCCTTCATCTCCATGCTTTGAATTACATGACGAGGCTGGCCAGCAGTTTGGCCACGGATAAGAATCAGTGCTAGTCGAAGTGCCCTATTTTTTTTTTCAGCGTGGTGAGTTGGAAACTCACCCAATTTCCAGAGTCGCCAAAATGAGATTTCACATTCTTTTGTACAATCTACTGAACTCACTTCGAGAGTGTCAGAACTCAAGTTTCTCTTGCTAATTAACCCTTTTAGAGGTTTTTGATTTCCTATTTCATGAAAGTTCAACAAGTTAAATTTTAAAAGCAAAGCAAATGGAAAACTGTGTCTTTGGAAAGCCACATCAGCAATAGGGTCAATTGGTTTCCCGCTTCAAAAATCAGTGCTTGCAGTTCACAAATTACTGCCTTATACCACTGAACAAAGAAAAGTTTATAATTTTCTGGATTTAATACTTCACTGTGGCTCAAAACAGCCATGTCCCTGCGGAAAGCACTAAGAGGAAGCAATATCAATATCAATCCTCCTTGAAAAAGTGAAAAGCCTTTATCAGAGGGTATAAATGTCAGGAGAATAATTGTTTCCTGCAGTGAATAACCTTGGAAAGTTGTTCAAGATGCCAGTACCGGAGAAATTAAGCAGCTAGCAGGAATTAGCAGGAAACCAGGATGGCCTAAAAGCAAGCCCCTGGCAATTTAAGATGCCTCTGCTTTGTCTTTTGATTTCAGCTGGGGAGGTGGCCAGAAAGTTGCCACACGCAAAAATAATGAAGATGTCCTTAAAAGGGATGGAAAACGTACAGAGGATAAGTATTCCTTTAGGTGTTATAGACTTCCAAAGGACCTAGCTGGTGGGCCTCACTGTCAGAGAGCGACACTATTGCCAGCGTGATGAGGGACAGTTATGCCACAAGAGAATGCAAGGGGATAAGAAAGCTGACCGCATGGATGAAGGCATCATATAAAGCATGCAATAACTTCACAGTGAATGATACTAAATATCAAAATAACTTTAATATCTTCTCATAGAAGCAGTGGTCTCACCAATTTCCTCATATTCTCACAGCCTGACACTTAGACGATGATGAAACTGCAGAAATGTGATGTCACCAATGACCTTTTACCTCACATCTGGATTTCTCCATGGATTAGTCAGATTATCACCTCTCTATGTGTACCTCAGCCTACATGACGACATGAATGTATAACTCCAATATCTCTACTTTCTAATCAAGAATGAGATGTCCAGTAAGTGTCCTACTGCAAACACTACACATATCACACTCCCATCTGCTTATGGTTTTCAGTATTCTCTATAAATACCTAAAAAGATAACCAAGTATAAAATTAAATCTTACCTATAACTTTTCCTAGGAAGAGTGCCTTTGGGGAATTGAACTGAATGTCAGATGCTGTTGGCAGGCTGTAACTTGTTGGAGGATAGTGATCAAGCTGGGGAAAGAGAAAAATAAGATAAGCATTTTGTACTAATACACCCTCTTACAGTGCTACTGAATTATATCTGCCCTGTGGAGTTTATGCCACCTCTTACAGCTCTGTCTCCACATGCTCTCATTTATTTTTGATAAAGGGGAAGTAACAGTTAATACCCCTTGCTCCATCTCTGCCATTTCTTAAGTTTCACAAGATCTGGAAAAAAACTTATATAGGACATTTATTTTTTCTGACTGTTCTAGATTTATCTCAGATTTGCTCAACTATTTCCATATAATTGCTTAAAATAACAACAAGAGAACAGTTTGGTATTATTCCAGTCTTCCATTTGGGACCTATGTTACTGCTAACGTGAGATTTACATGCTTTGCAAATAGGAGATTAGCTGGAGATTGAAACAAATGCAGCTGTTGGCCATTCTTCTCTCTCAGAAAATTCATTAAATTAATAAGGTATAAATATTTGCACTTCACACGTTTATTTTTTTTTGTTGAAAACGTAGTTTGATTAACTTGTGATGATACCCATTGAAACCTCAGAAATAAATTCAAGAGTGATCAATTTAGCTAAACAATTTTACCTATAGGAAATATATGTATATTTTTGATATGGTACAGTTTCCTCATCACATTGGCATATTTTTCCTGGCTTTAACTATTTAACAGAAAAACGGGAAGAGAGAGGAAGAAAACAAACTGCCTATGCTCAGTAACAGCACCATTAAGATGGTTCAATACAGCTCAATAGTTTTTTGATGTTCACATTTTATAAAGGTGAATGGGGTGAATTTTTATCTTTGCTGCTGCTATTTATTTTCTTGGGTTTAAATATTATTATAAAGGCTTAAGGAGGTCGAACAACAATTATTCATTTTATTCTGCCCTCATCTTGGCACCAAACAGAACAGAAACTTTTATAGGTGAATTAAGATTTTGCAGGCAAGAATAATTCTGAAAAAGCCACAACACTGAAGGACATATAATTTTCTTCACGTATCTTTTTGCCTTGTTTCTAATTTCCGATTTCAAAATATTATTATTTAGGATTAATTTGCTTTAATGACACTGAAAATGTTCTGTCATCAAGGGCAAGTGAATGGCAGACAGAATAGAACGGAAGGGCTGAATACCATTTCTGCCTTGAAAAAAGGGAGCTTCTGTACTTGGAAAGCCTATTGATTTCATATCCATGAATCTGCATAGGTGATCATCCAAAAAAACCTATAATAACTCAAGAAGAGTGCTTCTGTCTTTTTTACACTGCCCCATAAAACCTCAACATAAGAAGTGCCTATACCTAACAGACAGAGAGGGAAAATGGGCAGTGCAGATGCCAAAAGAGCTCTAGCAGATACGTTCAGAGGTGATTTTTAACTGACCAGTTATACTGAATCAATAACTGAATCTATCTATGCATATATATTTTACACATCCAGTTTCAGTCAAGTAAAGATTTCAGAATTTCAGTGAATCTTTCTAAGGGTTTAGCAACTCTGAAGTTTGATTCCTGGACAGAATGACACTCCATTTCAACTCTGTGCATACTTGAATTTATGGCCTTGTCATCAAAAGAGGGCAAACAAGGCTGATTAGAGACAGAGGCAGCTCCCATTCCACCGGCAGCTCTGCAATCTCTTGGATCACTGGGATTGCTTTCCACATTCAAACTTTGTGAGAAATGCTCTTCTCTGACTCTAGGACTTGAAATGAAACAGTTCACCACAAGACAAAAGTGAGTGAACGGTGAGACTTCTGTCCTCTTGCTTTATTGCTCATCTTTGTTCTAAACTGACATTATCTAATAAAGGAAATACATTTTTCAGAAGAGCTTAATCTAGGATTTTTTTAGGTCAGTGAGTAGAAGGACCACATACTGAATTATTTCCAAAGCTGTATTTTACTGCCATCCAGTGGGTGCTCAAGTGGAAACAGCTAGAACTGAACAGCCTACAATCCTCATATGAAATAGCAGGCTATATCAGTCTTACATAAGGCACATAATAAAAATGGAATTACTAGTGTCAAATGACATTTGAAAAAAAAATTGCATTGTATAATGAAAATAAAATAAAATCTCTGCCTATGTACAGGCTGACACCATGAATCTGTGTTAAATTACAGTTTTAAAATTATATCTAAGATTTTTCATTACAGGTACTTTTCTTTAAAAACTCATTAATTTCATTTGAGCTGAAGAGATAGCCACAGTGTGGCTTTGAGCACCACACAGACCGACGTTCCAGGGAACTCGCAGCTTCAGTTCTCAAGTCACGTCAAGCCAACTTGACTGCCTTTAGCTGAAGTTACTGGGATTTAAGCAGAAGTTCAGTAAAATGCTATTTCATTTAAATTACTGTTCACTTTTTGATAATACAACAACTCTTAGCTGAGATTAACAAATACAGCAACATAAAGGCAAATATAATGCCCACATCACCTTTTTATTCTAGGAAAATATACCTACACAGTAAGACAAATTCCATGACAAATTCTGTCTGTTATTAAGGTTAAGTTTATCCAGGGTTGTCTTATATGTATATGCATATATTTAAAGGACATATAAAAATATATATGGTACATAAATACATCTATATTTGCACATATTCAGTGTGTGTATATATCTACATCTGTATCATTGTCAATCCAGTCCATGTTTGTACATTAAACTTTTTCTTTATGCTGAAGACAATTTATAAAGAAGATCTTCAAAATCTTATGCAACAATAATGCTGTAATGCTTAATTTTGCACCATCTGAAGTCAACAGAGATTTGGTACTGGCTTCAGTAATAGCAGGATCAAGAACTGGATGTGGTATCATCATGACCAGTGTAATATTTCTATTCTGCATTAGTATAATGATTTATTGCTTGTATTAAAAGACTATCTTGTCCTGGACAAGGGCTTTTTGTGCTAAGTGCTATAATATTGCATAATAAAAAGATGGTTCCTGTTTAAAAATGCTTACAAATTTAGAATAAGAGACAGCAGATGTCAACAGACAGGCATGTGAGCCCCCGGAAATAATAAAGCAGCGTGCAGAGTTTATAAGGAGTTCCTCCCAAGCACAACAGCATTTTAGGAGAAGGCAGCAAGGTGACTGTATGAAAATCAAATAGGTGATAGTATCTGGCTTTCAGGGTTGACTGAAATCTGAACTCTTAATGGTGACAGAGAGAGGATTATTCACATGCAGAGAGGTTAGGAAAAAACTGAGAAACTGAAGACACTGTATATTTTTAACACAACAGAAAAGGAGAAGATTCAGGGGCAGATCCATAATTATTTAGGGTGATTATAGCCAATGTCACCGTAATTCAGCTGCTTCCTTAGAGTGGCACTAGTGCTTCTCTGAGCTTTTGTAAAGTCAGTTTTCTGTCAGGGTAGGCCCTTGACCCAGCTTATCGTGGAGCAGACTGGTGCCAGACACTGCGTGTAAATGAATAGTACATCGAGAGAAGTAGCGAGGACCGTAAAGCCAGCAATTTGGACTGGCTTAGACGGTCATGGACCTGCAGCCTCATTTCACACATCTGGAACCCATATACCTCACTGGCATGGTGTAAAGCTAACTTAGGGTTTGCGTTGTGCTTTGAGCTCTTCAGCTGAAATGTCTGCAGTGGTACAGTTAATATTGGTTTTAGGAACAACTCAACATCTGCTTTGCCAGATTAATACACTGATTCATCTACTGCAGCTTTTATACAAATCAGCTATAGTCTTTTATAATGAAGTCTTTTTTTTTTTTTGGCAGGGATTTAAATTAGAAGCCTGATCAACACAGGGTACATTGCAGAAAAAAAAAATATGAAGTTGTTTTCTCATTAAAAGCATAAGTCCCTTATCTGCTATAAACTCCTACATTTTCCTGAAGTCACTGTTGCTCTAATAAAAAATATCAGGGGATAATTTGGCTCAATTTAAAAAAAATACGAAAACTTGGATAAAATTTAAATGGAAACGTAGATACGCATCTCAAAATGTAACAGAGGCACTGATAAGGAAAAGGACACTATTTTGTCTGGCTGCCTCCAATTTAAACAAATCTCTGATACTTCTTTCAGATATCTGTAGACTTTTTATTGCTCTGTTTAATAGATGAATTACATCAAGTGTTAACAGAAGCAATAGCAAGTTATATAACGCCAAGTTATTAAAATGAAAGAGATCTACTCCATGCGCCTAAAGATGACTTTCACAGGACATTAATTTGTCCAGTAGGTGCTGCCACATAATGAAGAGCACCTATTTCATGCTAAGCTTTGTCTTTTTTAAGCTTAGTGTTAGAATGAAAACACTTCCTGATTCTTTCTTTCTTTGTGTCTGCAACTCCAATAAAAATTGATGCCAGAACAGCAATTGCACAGGCTAAGGAAACCGCATTCATCGTTAGAAACAGATTATAGAAGAAGGAAATGGTCTCAGTGTAAGCCAACTTCTGGCAACATGTGCTGGGAGGCAGATAAGCCGCATGGCATGCTCTGCAGCCCTTCGCTCTGCTGTGCTGTGCAGACTGGGCAAGCTCCCAGACCCTACCCTGCTCCCTCGTGCCCTGGCCACCCCAGCTTTTCTTCCAGTGGAACCAGGCTGCAGGGTGAGGAAGACATTTCACTTACTGGTCTTATCATGCTAAGTGGCCTGGATATAGCCAAAGCCTGGAACAAGAAGGTGGAAAAAATCCCTCTGAATCCAGCAATACATGTAGGCTGTGCTGAAAAGATGTAAGAAAAAGGATGGATCTGCAAGAGAATTCCTCTCTTCCTGAGTGGTTTTACACAACAGAAGGTAGACAAAAATATTCTTCCAAAAGGCCTCAAGCTTGGAAACCCTCTTAGCTGATGCACAGAGAGGGTTAAAACTTCTGCAATGATATATAGGTACTTCAGCCTCTGCCTCCGACCCTAAGCAGCAGGTGTAAGGATGGTAGCAGCTTCAGGTCTTACAGCCATGAAACCGGAGGGCGAGATGCTACCTTGAGATGCACATGAGGGGCCCTACT